GATGTTTTTTCACCAAAACCCTGCTGAATCCAGTAATTGCTGGGGAGCTGGGGCCTGTGTTTTCAAAGCAGCAATTTTTATTGTGAAATGGAACATGCAAAACAACGCCTACATCTAATTCTAAAGCATATCAATTTTGTGCTCGTTATCAGTACCTTCTTATTTTACAGTTGGATACATTTACTTGAATATTTACGCAACCTAACAAATCTGTAATGAAATCACTGGTTAGTTATTAAACCATGCTGTTTCTCCTTCAAGCATCACAAATTACCGAAAATTAAATCACTTAACTGTAGTATTGTCGGTCTGGGTGTCTGCTCTGGCTTTTTCTGGAAGCAGTAGGTGTGGTTTGGAACGAAGAACGCATCTTTCCAGAGCAGTGTTTTTCAGTTGTAACCAGGTTTTACTTTTTGTGGCTGGACTGCTTTATATGAAACTAATTTAGCTGCCTGAACCCCACCTTTATGAAACACAAATGTTGAAATGTAAGGCAAGCGGAGTTTAAAATCCCAGTATATTCTCTCTCGGGTCACCCAATGTTTTGCCCATATTCTCCGTGCAGTGGAGTAAATCACAGCAGCGGGGCAATGGGCCAAACACAGTCTGGAGAGTTGTTCTGTTGATTACCTTTTCGTAGTAAAAATACAGGAGCTTGTTAAAATACCAGCCTTAAGCCCCAGTAAGCCGCCAGCATTGGCCTAAATTTGGGCATGTGGACTGCTGAACAGCCATTTATTGTGAAAAGTCAAATAATCTTCACATAAGCCCATGCAAATCTCATAAGCCAGCTCCGTTAGAGCGTGTTCTGTATGCCACGTACTAGTACGTGGGAAGGTGTAGTAGTGTGCGTTATTATCTTTGTTGCTTTATGCTGATAACTAAGGAAAAAAAATCTACATTTTCTCCATAAAGAATGTTCCTTGTCCCGCCAGAATTGATGCGTTGTAATTTTTGATAAGCAGTATTACACAGGTGTCATTGTGACTCCTCCTAGGGTGACAAGTAGTTTCTTTCTATATGTTGTTAAGTGAAACATTCTGAATTGTCACCTTTTTATGAATACCAGGAATATTTTGTAGAAAACTGGACACACTGAGAGATGTAGGATGGTGGAACCCGGTAGTGCTCTAGCTAGGACAGGTCAGCATTAGACTAGTCTGCCATTTAATCCCCCCAGGAAGCCTGTACTCAGCTTGTCTTTATCTTGTGTATTTAAATAAATTGTCAGCAATGTGCTCTGCTGCTGTGTCCTTGGGATTTGGGCCCAGCACGGTTCTGCTCAGCTGATGGTTAACTTGGATTCTGTACTGGACAGAGCCAGGCCTGGTGATTGAAGCCACTGGGCTGGGTTAGAGCAATACATTTCTTTTTTTGTAAACACGAAAGGTGCCTAATGTCTTTCCAAGTGGTGAGCAGGAGGCTTGGAGGCACAGATTTTACTGTTGCTGAATTTGCATTTGCAATTGCCACTTTTCTGAGCCTCTCGTGTGCGTTCACTGTAGCAGCAGTGACGCCTCGTCCTGGGGTACGTGCATCGGGATTCTAGCTGGGCTACTCAAATTAAATCCCAACTCTTGCCATAGATCCATAACAAGATGGGTTTCAAAGCCACTACTTGGTAGGAAAAATTATGCACTGTGCTCAGATGCTGATCATTCACCTGATTAATCTTCTTGTTGTTTGTACTGAAAAGCAATCCAGGATTTTTCAAGGCATAAATCAAAGCTAGGTGTTTGGTTGCTACCGGCTTGGCTTGTCAGCACACTGTGAAAGACCAGAGGCAGAGCTGGGGCACAAGGCACGCTGTTCTGGGGCTTGCCAGAGGTATTCACAGAATCCCAGACTGGCAGGGGTTGGCAGGGACCTCAGGAGCTCACCCAGTGCCACCCCCCTACTCAAACAGGCTCACCCAGAGCAGGGGGCACAGGACAGCGTCCAGGCGGGGGTTGAATATC